GATGATGATGATGATGATGATGATGATGAATATAATGAGAATGAAACAAACCCAGTTGTACAGTAGGTACCAGGTACTTGCACTTAATTCACCATACCAATGACCATTCCAGCTGAAAGTTTAACAGCCAAATTTTCATAATTACAAATCAGCACTGGATCTCTGCCATTATTTCAACACACAACTGTTCAAGCAAGTCTAGTTTACTTTCTGAACAATAAACTAAGTTTCATGCACTGGTTCTATCACAGCAGGAGATTATAGCTCATTACACCACATCCCTGGTGTATTTACCATAGAATATTGCTTTACATTTGATTGTACTGGATGGTGTTTCTAAATAACTGCAGTTCACTTGTTGCATAAACAAAACTGTGTGACAATTTCCAACATCATAGATATTCATTCTTTGAGTGAAAGAATGAAGACAAAGTTACAGATTTGCTTCTCCATTCACATCTAGTTTGTCATTATTAGCTAGAATGAAGTGTTTTTTAACAGGCTGAAGTGGTGGTTCTGCTTAAAGTGCCAACACTATTACAAGGTCAACCAGCATTCTGTCAGCCCTGTGCCAATCAAAAACTCAATCTCACTTCAGTTAACTTTAACTGACACATACCGAATCCCATTCAGCCATGTATATTAAAGCTGGGTAGACCATTTTTGACACAAAGTGACTTCTGCACCTCTAGTGGTCAAACTGACCCATGGACTATTAGTTTAGTAGAGCTTTAGCAGACATACTTTGCTTCATCTCTCCTATATTTGCTATTAGGCAGAACTGTACTTTTCTCCCATCTTGTGAACAAGATATTGGTTAGTTTGTTTGATATGCACCAACAATCCACAACTGAAAGACATTCTGTCCTTCCTTTCCACATCACTACTGGAGGGAGAGGTATTTGTTGCTGCTGTGGCAAAATTATCATAGGGGCCAGAGAAAGTTCTGACCACTCACTGGTATCCAATGCAGCTGTGCTCAAACATTGAAAGGTGCTTGTGGCAGTGGAACTTTGGTTCAACAATAAGCTTTACACAATGTAGACATTTGAAAAGGTTAATCTAGTTGAGGTGGAGTCACTGCTGCTTTTAATCATAGGTTTCTTTCTGGTTGCCATGAAAACAACCATAGGAGGATATGCAGGTCTTTTGGGTCTCTCTCTTTTGAGCTTTGAACTTGGCCCAAGAAATTGCTCAATTCTCTAACAAAGCTGGGTCAAATCATTAACACAACAATGTTCTTGCAACTAAGGCACTCCTCTTCAAAATTATCAATTGAATCAAACTCTAGGCCATTCATATATAGCAACAGTAATTGTATCACCTGGTTTTTAGTCCATTTATTCCAGGAAAGTTAATTTCTTTAAAATGTAGAGAGTGGTGAAAGTTTTTTCATTGTACTTTTGATCATTTGTTATCTGCTTCACCATGCTACCAGTGGCATCTCAGCTGTCTTATATCTGAGACACCAAAGAAGTCAGGGACAATGGCTGGTGTTGGTGCCAAGATCATATGGACCCTATCCTTATTCATAAGGTTAGCTTGTTGCTGTAGAAAACTCATCTACTAACTCTGCTTGGTGTTGGGTCTCACTCAATCCTTAGTGGTTCAAGGTATAATTCTCTTCTCATGAAGGATCAAGTCATATCATCTTCTTCATCCAGTACATACAGTTTCTCCTGGTAACAGACATCTAAAGCTAGTGGACTTCACCCTCTTCTTAATCACAGGTGACAATGATATATAATGAGGTTCAAATCCACTAACCATCAATAATCTTGGTACCTCTCCACTAGGCCTCAGCATCTCCAGAATGTAAATCACCATAGTGACCCTCAGTAGTTCATGCTTTCTAAGAGTTGAAGTTAAAAGTTCAGAGGTAAGACAGGGTCAGAAGCTGAATAATTCTTGGGTTGTGCTTCTCATCCATGAAGTTGTTGCCAGATGAAAACTTTGGAAATAGTCTTTCACACCAGTGCATGTACTTTTGAAATCCATTATTTTTTATCTATAACTATGACATATTTCAAAATTTTCAGTGCCAATTAACCATGAAGTATGTTACATAGTTATTATGATTTTTGTGCCTTGTAATTGATTGTCATTTTATTATAAATATTTTAGCCTTTCAATGTTACTACTGTCCATGTCACCACATTGGTCATACTTTGTCTGACAATCATGCATTTTGACAATAGCCCTGCAGTATAGTTTTCATTGCAAAATGCTCACAAAGCTGTCATGGTCAAAGCAAACCTCTCCTCCCAGCAGGTTTCCATATTCAGTCTCATGCACAAAGATGATAGTTTCCAAGCTATTACCTGTTTTAACAGTTTGATTGCACAGACATCTGCAGGGACTGTATCTAGTGACTTGAGTGCTATTTCTTCATATGAAATAGCATGAATACTTGTGTCATTCTCTAGCTGCTTTAGGTATGCAAATGGTTGTAATTATATATTATGGAAGTAATATGTGTACCCATGACATGTGTTGCTTTTCCAGACAGAGATTCTTCTTGATTGCTTACAGTTGCTTTGGACACATGGATGAATTTTACCACTGACTTTTGTGTTCATGGATTTTCACTTGTTACAAGACACTGCACTATACTTACCATGGCTGGGGTACATGTTGAAGGCTTCTTTCTGAATGGTCCTGCTGCCCCAAGTCCATCCATATTCCTTTGTTTTCTAATTCCATTTAGAACAAGGAGTATTCTCATCTTGGAAATTATAAATCCCTGATCTGAGTGTATGAATATTTTGTGAAGGAAAAGGCTGTAATATACACTTCCTAAAAATGACCAAGTTTCAGTGGTATCACAGTACTTTCAAACACCAATGTCAAAATGTAGTTCTGATACACATTGATTACCTTGACCTTGTATCGACTGTGGTTGTCATGTGAATTGCAAATTTGCACATTTAAAATAGTGTTGCATGTGTGTGTGTGTATTATATACATGTGCGAAGATATAAAGCGAATTTACAAGACAATCAGATTAGTTAAAATGTACGACATAAATTAAATTTAGAAACACTTTTTCATTTTTCATGCATTATACAAGTACTAATAAATCTCCCTAAAATACATTTATAAAAACTGTTGCTAATGGCACTGTACAAAGAAATATGCTTAGTTCAGTGCTGTGGCAATTTTAAATACTGAACTTATTCTTAGTTCAGTGCTGCAGCATATTAACATATTAACAAATGCAAGCCAAAAAGAAATTAAGAATTAAAATAAAAAATTATCAGTATTCATGCAAACTTATAAAATTAACTGCTACTTATGTTGTTAACATAGGACATCACTTAGTCAATTGCAATTCTAACTACTGCTATGTTCCCTGACCAATCCTTCACTTTTATTTTCATATAGGATTATATATATTTTTGTGCCATGAAAAGTGTGTATATGTGTGGTGAGGGGGCTACAGCCCATCAGCTCCACCACTATTTATCTCTTTTGAAAAGGCTTGTCAGTAGTTTGTACAATTTCTCACCACAAACAGAGAGTAAGCAAATAAATGTTATACTACATAGATGATTTATGATTCATGAGTTCCCTATTCCACTTACTAATTTAAAATAAATAGTTTAGCAGCATATCTCTTTATAAGATATACATATTGGTTAAAAGAAGGAATACAAGCTTACTGCTAACAACTTAACTTATACTGTACATCAAATACTATATCTATTTTCAATAATCAAAGTAAAATAGAAAACTAAACCAAAGTCAATACTTCGAATTGAGATCTGTACTGAGACAGACTTTCCTCCTGGAATTCCACACGTATAATTCCCGGAATATTTCTCACTGGTGTATAATTTTATGTAGATATATTTACATGAAAATCTCCAACAGACAGATGATGCTATACAAAAGATATATAGAGAGAGAATTATTAATACAACATATTTACACCATCTGGCTGCTGAGAATATATTAAGAGAAACATCTGAAACTAAGATCTCTTTAAAACCTATTGTGATAACATCATCAGCAGAAAAAGAAAATTTAATACTCTTGGCATAATAGATTAATGTTATCCTAAATAATTATAATTTATTAGTTAAGCCATCTTATTTTTTTTCTTTAAGAAGATTAATACCATTATATTATACAATTTTAAGTAAACTGGTATGCAAAAAAAACAGTACAAGAGCCAAATTAAAATTAAATCCAAATGAACTAAAAATGGCAACTTAATAAAACATGAAATATTCAAAGTTTCAATTATTTCGTACTAAATATTCTCTGATATTTGATAGGTTCCATGAACAGTTCAGCACTACAGCAGTAAAACCTGTGATTAGTTTAGTGCTAGACTACTAGTAATTATTGAACTTATTATTAGTTCAGTGCTGTTGTGATAGTAAGCATTGAACTTATGCTTAGTTCAGTATTGTTGCAATAGCAAGTATTGAACTTATGCTTAGTTCAGTGCTGCAACAATAGTAAGCATTGAACTTATGCTTAGTTCAGTGCTGTGGCAATTGTAAATACTGAACTTGTGTTTAGTGCTGAACTTATTCTTAGTTCAGTGTTGCAGCACTAGTAATTATTTAACTTATGCATAGGTTGAAGATATTCACCTATATGAAAAACAAAACTTAAAAAAAAACAATTTTTTGCTGAATGGATAAGGAATAGGATACTTTTAATTGTACTTATGAAAACCTTAAACACAAGTACACACATAGGATAAAGATGCCTAATATCATAATATTTTTCATGTTTATTATATGACAGCATTTTAGCCTGTTAGTTCTCACTGACTATTGTTATAGTACAATTGTAACTCTATGTAATAGCTACTGTCCTTTCTAATGATGGATTTAAATACTGATCCTCCTGCAATGTTGTTGATTAATTATAGTTTCTGAGATGTTTAGCTTATACATTCTGTCATAAAATTACATTCTTAAAATACATTTATAAATGAAAGTAAAGAAGAATGTAATAATATGTCAGCCATACTATACAATGATAAAAGCTCTGCAATATTACAGATTTAAGACTGAAACACATAAAAGGTAACAAATACTTATAGAAGTACTATATTATATCTACTGAAGAGCTATAGAAGGATTAAAGACTATTTGTAACATTATTTTGGATTTACAACTGAGGGTTTATAGAATTGTTACAGAAAGAATCAACACTACACACTGTCCAGAAGGGTTATGGATTGCTGATAAAAAGTAGGAAAACAACATATTGCAATAAATGGACTTAGAATGGATATAGGAATTTTATAGATGAGCAATAAGTTTGCTTGGCCAGCTAAGGTAATACAAATCTTTAATTTCTTTGTCTATTCAACTGAAGATCTGTGTGTTGTAACAGTGTCATTCTGATGAGCTCTGATACAGAAAGGCAACATGCAAAGTGTGCAGTTGAAATCCTATTATACACTATTCTGAGTTAGACGCATTGCAGAAAGTACAACTCAACATTACTTTAAATACAGTTAGATCAAGTCTTCATTTACTGTAGTTCTAGGTTTTTAATATAGCTGTTCTCTGAACCACTTCAGTATAATAAGGTTTAGGAAAAAAGACTAGTTCTAATTAATTATAATCATTTTCTTATCTATGATTCATTTTTAAATAAAAAAAATAGCTAAATGACTCAACTGGTAAACAAAGGTTGATCTAGAATCAACTTAACTATAGAACAGTTCATTTGTGAAGACTGCAAAGATTTCCTAAGTTATATGAATTTGTGAGGTAGAATTTCTTTTTTCTTTTTAGTTATAATGTTTTTACCATTTATGTATTTTTTGTCCTGTTGTTTCAGCTTTATTTTTATTTATTTTGTACACTAGCTTACCTATTTCTTAGTGTATGTTAAATATTAACAAGAGATTTTTATATCAAGACACCAACACAAGGCTCCCTAGCAGTGATGTATGAATACTACATTTATACTCAAGTATGTACAACAAATGTTAAGTAGTTAGCCATATATGTAATCTCATTGTCTGTCAAGGAAATAAAACCTTAAGATTTGAAATTAGACTGTCATGAGAAGTTAAGCTGTGAAACCTATAAGATATTTAATTTATTAAAATATATCATAGCAAAATATTCACTTGTTCCTTATTTGAGAAGTATCTGATACTGTTATTGTGAATAATTTTATGAATTAGGTTTTTATACTTCTAATTTTTTTCTTTATTCATTATTATTATTATTTCTCTTACTGTTATTTTGTGTGGGATATTATTAACAACAATACTATATTTATATTTCTTGTATTTGAGTTTGACTTGGAGTTTCAAATATTTATTAACACTGTTCTAACCAGGCACTTATTTATTAGTATTTAATTTTGTAAAGCTTGTATTGTATTTAATAAATCTCTAATGTTTTGTACCCTAATACTAATTCATTATTTGATACCTTACAACTTTAGTGTATTAACAATTGAAACATTAAATATCAACAAAATAAAATCTGCCAAAAGGTTTCTTTCTACATTTCATCTACCAATTGCTTATAATTATTATTAATACATTTTCATATGCAAAATTATTCCTTAAGTACACAACTTAAATAAACAAATTTACTGTTTTAAACTCATGTAAAATTTCATCAGTTCCTTTTACTTCATTCAAGACCACAGGTGGTGAAAAGGGTTTGTTTCTCCAAACTAGTCAAGCAGACTAAACTGGAGTGTTGTGTAATAAAACATCAACAAATCTTAGCTAGTAAAAAATTGGTGCCTTATCTCAGAATTTATATGTTGTAGTTAAAGAAAAACAACAACAAAGAAACACTAACATATAAAATAATACATGTACAAAACATGACATCAGAAATTTCTGTTAGAAAAATTCATATATGAGTGAGAAAAAAAATGCAGCCTTTTGCCTAGTTAAGCTCCATAAATATATTCACAATAAAAACCAATTTGTTTTTAATAGAAGAAGCAATTTTGTGTAAAATTAAGCTACTTACAAACACCCTGGACATTAGTTTCAAACTCTGCATTCTTGTAGATTTGTTCGTCAACAGTATGACAGTTAAGGTATAGTTTTTTATCAGGAGGAAATACAATAATTCCACCTTCAGAAATCACTCCTTCTTCACTGAAGTCTATAAAAACATCATCCCAAGCTAAAAAATTAAACAAATGAATGAAAATCCAACTCAAGAAAAGGCAAATATTTGTGTTCATGAAAAATATTTTATTTTTATTATTGTAATATGAGAAATATATATTTCTTTACATTGAATGTCATATATACTTTAGCATGGCTTTTCTAAAAACATGTGTATATATTACAAGTAAATAAAAGTGCTTGTAGTTATATGGTAAAACGAATGTGGTGTTCAGAAAGATCACAAAACTGACTTTATTCTAATACCATGTTGATGTATAGTACAAGAATGTTAGGTGAAGTAATCACAAGAAGCTCAGTAGGCTGATCAGGACAGTGTATTTTCATTTCACCTTTCTTATAAGCCACAGGTACAAACACATTTGTGCAGAAACTGTTTCGGCATCAACCTAACTGTGAAGAAATATTGAATGATAATAATCAAGATTATTTATTATCTGAAAAGACTTACATTGGAAGAGCAGCTGTATTATTGTTTTGCTTATTTTCATATTCCTACTTAGAATAACTGAATTGTTTTATGACAGTTAGCCGTAATAGTGTAATATACCACATTATATTGACTGATATCCTAAAAAAACAATTTCACAAGTTAGCTTATATTACAGGGGTAACAAATTCTAAATAAATATCAATCTAGTTAAGAAGACTTAAACAGTAATAAGTCATTGGGTTAATTCGAGGACTTAGCAACGAAGCAAAACCTGGTTATTTTCACTCTAAAAGTTATCAAAATTTATGGAATTTAAGTGTACATTAATTAGAGATGATGTATTGTTGTTATAGCACAGTCTTGGAAGTAGCTTCTGAATTCAGAATCGTCACTCACAGTTTAGCCTGGCTTAATATATACTATTGTGTCCTATAAGACTAAAACAAAAACTGTACAGCAAATTAACAAAATTCTTTGGTATTTTAGGTTAAGTCATAAAGTGAAAACCATAAATGTTTTGCTTTACTCAGAAAGTTAGCAGTGAAATGCATGTCAGCTTTGTAAAAAATATTTAAATACTTTGGTCTACAGTATTCAAGAATATACAACTAAACTATCATTATATTCTTTACTCTGAACTCACTGAAATGTTTCATATAGCTTCAAGTTAAAAACTTTTTAAAACTTGTACATCTCTATTTTAGAATTATTAAAGTACAATATTTTAGAAAATAACTTCAGCAATGAAATATCATACAATTGTGGGGTTTAAAAGCAGAAATTTTTGTCCTGACATTTAAATGTGTTCTATAGCAATATTCTGTAAGGAATATACTAAAGGTAGAAATATTAAATTTAAACAATAAGTGTGCTGGCTCTAGATCTACACCATTTTTGAATTCCTTGTATATTTTAAAATATAATAATCATTTACCTTTGATACTTTCTAATATATTACTTCAATAATTCAAAGTATCTATAGACCAAATGTTAAGAGCTTTTATTATTGTGAAAAATTGAAGAACCAAAAAACAGTTCCTTAATGAGAAACTAACTTAAAAATATCATTTTTCAGATACTAAAAGCTTTTAACACTGTCCCTTCCACAAATACTGTACTTTTCATAAAAAAAGAGGTTATTATAAATCAATGTGGGAAAATAAGTTTTGACCTAATACATGTCACCAGCAAAATACTAATGGAATGAAGCCATACATTGTTACCTGATATAGAAAAAAAATATATCACAAATTATGTTAAAATTGTAAAAGATAATGCAGCTCACATATAGTATTATATGAAAATATCTCTCCATAAATTCATGATATAATTAATAAACCAGTATTAATCAGAATAACAGATTATGTAATATTTAGTTTAAATTTAAAGTCATATTTATCCACCTTTTCAATGTTTGTTAATTAATCAGGCTTCATTCAGTTTCTTGCAAGCATTTTGTACACTTAGCTGGAACAAACACGCACACACAACACAAAAGAAGTAATAAACAACTCAACTTTCATTGCAAAATTAAATACTTTGATTTAATTAATTACTGCAACAAAAAAGCTGGTTATGGTTTAAATTAATAAAATCTCTCTACTGAAAAAACATATTTAATTCAAGAGATTTCTGGGTCAGAACATGCTGAACCAATACTTTTTATAACTAACTTATATAAAACACATGTGTAATGCAAAATTGTTTGTTGATTTAACCTAACATAATATTAAAGAACAACATTTTGGTTTACCTAGGCTGTTTTAGCTACTAGATTAAGCTAAATTCTTCAGAAAAGGAAGAAAAAAAACACCTCAAAGCCAGCCCTCATCATTCAAATGTTTATGAAGCTTTCTCTTAAATTAACTGCATCTGAAAGCAATCCATTACAAAGGCTAGTTACCCTGTTAGAAATATAAAGCTATTTTAGCTGAATATAACTTCTTTCTTGCCAAAATTTATACTTGTGTCCCCTAGTCTTACCATTCTCACCATTAAATATGAAAAAAAATTAAGATTCAATATTATCAATTCCATTACGAATCTTACACACCTCAATCGGATCCCCTCTAAATCTTCTTTTTTCAAGAGAAAACAAGTTTAGAGATCTTAACTTATCCTTGCATGGTAACCTTTCCATCCCAGGTATCATCATAGTAAACCTCCTCTGAACCCTTTCCAACAATTCAATGCCCTTTCTGAGGTAATGATCCCAAGACTGAACACAATGCTCCAAATGTGGCCTAACCAATGACCTATACAATGACATTATAATGCCTATTGATTTGTCTTCGGTATTTCTGTAGATACAACCTAAAATACTGTTATATCTCTGGCTGTTAGTTAATTTCCTGTATAATTTTGTTCCGATGAAACTTTAGCGACACAAGTCCTTTCTTAAATAAAACTAGTTTATTCTTTCTCAATACAACTTTGCAATACACTTAATTTCCACAGTCACGCTATAACTTAAACAAACACTATAATTCACAACGAACGACTCACGTGCTTGACTCAATTGTCCGTCTCTATCTCTGTCTGCAATTCAATTACAATGTTGCCGTCACTTCTTGGCGGTCTTATATACAAGAATACTGCACATCTAGTAAACAATCGAGGCTTCATGAAGGGACATGAATTTTCTAGAAGCTCATGATGTGTTACTAGCGTCACGTGACTGCCACTGTCATAATACTGCCCCTTCCTTAGTATTGTTCGTCCCGAACAATAGCCACTTACATTAAACCAATAAACAATTAACAATAACTTAATTAAATGTACAGAATTTACAAACACAAAATTAAAACTCAACAAAGTATCTTAATTTTACGGGATGTATCTTCTTCCGTCCTGTTCTCCATCTC